CCCGAGCAAAGCGGCCAGGTACATCCTGGTCCTGTTTCGCCGTCTCGATACCGGTGAGGATCTTCTTGATGCCAACCCCAATTTCGGTGTTACCTGTCATCTCCTGGATCTCACTGATGGCGCGCTGTTGGTCGGAATCAGAGAAGGCACCGGATTCCCGCAGGACGGCTGCCAGCTCGGACTGTGTGTTGACGTTCGGGACGGCGATCTCGGCGTCGAATCGGGCGAAGAGATCGAGCTGTGTGAGTACCGAGCGTTCGGTCGTTGTCGCGAAGATGAGTAGGCGACGATCCTAGGGTTGTTAGATGGATTACACAGTAGAAGCGGGATAGTGAGGCTACATACCTTTGGTGGCTCCTTGGCAAGCAGGACCTTTAGGGCAGCCAAAACGGTGTTACTGAACCTAGGGCCAATCGGCACCCAGTCCAGTAAGAGCTCGATCGAGTCGATGACAATGACACTCAACGGACTCTTGTATGCGTCTCGGAAAACCTTATCCAGCTGTTGAACCTTTTGCATCTCACTGTAGCCGATCATATCTTCAGCCGAGATGAGTTTGATGAATGGGTAACCTGAGTCGATTGCCATTTTCGCAGCCAGCGCTGTCTTTCCGGAACCTGGAGGACCGTGGAGCGCAACCGAGAGGAGCGGACTCGATTCCGGTTTTCTGACCTGGTTGATGTATAGACGTCCATCCTCCAGTATATCCCTGATGAAAGGAGAGTAATGGATGATACCGTGACGGAATCGCTTACTGAGTTCCTCTTCAGCGACACCAAAGAGCGGCTTGACGTCGTCGAGTGCACTCAGGAAGTCTTGTCGCATGACCTTGATATCCTCCACGTCTGCTTTGACAGTAGTGCCGTCTTTGATATGTCGCCCGAATGCGTACGATGTGGCGGCCTTGACCAAACCGTTGAGTTCAGCTCCAGAGAAGTTCTTGGTAAGCTTAGCCAGCTCTTCGACGCTGACGTCTTGCTCAAGGACGTTGTTCTTACGCATCTTGGTTGTGTGAATCTTGAGAATTTGGGCTCGGCCGGACTCATCGGGCAGCGAAATCTCCAGGTGCACTTCGAGACGACCGGGACGCAGAAGAGCTTCATCGATCATGTCCATTCGGTTCGTCATACCAATGAGGAGGATGTTGTGTAGCTGGTCAACACCATCGAGCTTGGACAGCAGCTGGTTGACAACGCTGTCGCCTACACCAGTACCACTACCCGCGCCAGAACCTCTTTGCTTGCATACAGCGTCAAGCTCGTCAAAGATGATGATGTGCAGACCACTTTCGTCACCCTTCTCCTTTTGTTCTTTCTCTGCGTCCGCAAACATCTTTCGGATGTTCTCTTCGGACGCTCCGACGTACTTGTTCAACACCTCTGGACCGTTGATAACCTTGGGCTCTCGCGCATTCAGCATCTTTCCGATCTGCCGAGCTATCAAGGTTTTACCCGTACCGGGAGGTCCGTACAGGAGCATACCGCGGACGTGATCGATACCCAGCCTCTCCCGAATACCCGGAGGGAAGATACGGGAGGCGAAAGCTCGTCGAAAGATGGCACCGAATTCAGCATCCAAGCCACCGATACCCATGTCTTCGAACTTGAAGCCTGGCTGGATAATGGAGTTTGCCGCTGCTCGTCGCGCTGACGCCTTTAACTTGATATCTGTCTTGGCATCCTTGAAGAAGTCGACCTGAGTGTGTCTTGTGAGGATGCCACGAGCTCGAGGGTCGGTAATCGCAGGCGCGTTGGCCTCGTCTTTCTCCATAGACAAATCCGCTAGCGTCACAGTTCGTATCGATAACTTGAGTGGTATGTTCTTGATATCGATCACAAGCTGCTGGCCTGGCGAAAGGATTTGGTTCTCGAAACTCTTCTTGAAGACGGTAGCGAGCTCGTCCTGGTCGTAAGGTGTCTCCGTGGTCTTCCTTCCCGCGAATCCGACTTCCACGTCCACTGCGCCTAAGTATGACTTTCCGCCGCTGTACGCAAAGTGATCGTATGGTGCCGCGTTAACAACCTCCTGGGGACCAAGCGATATGCCGGCCCATGTTCGCTGGAAATCTGTGAGACCAATCTCGCCCGGGTTGCATCCTTGTGTTGGTCGTGCGGAGAGTGCGTAGTTCCCGTTAACAATGATGTAGATATCGGAGCCGTCGGCGTTTGGTGGGAAGTCTTGAGGGGAAACTGCGACGCTTTGTGGTGTTAGCCAAGAGTTCCGAACATATAGAAATTTGGGGTTTGAAGAGGCTTGTAGGCTACATTGCTGCTGACTGTACATACATGTTGCCAAAAGCGTACGCGTTGCCTCCTGGGCTCTTGATGGGCCGCAGCTGTCGTGGAGGACCGCCGCCGCCGCCTCCACCGCCTCCTGGAGGGCCCCTTGCGGGCATACGCTGTTGTTGCGGCCGGTCATCATAACCCGCCATTCTTGTGTCTTGGCCTCGCGAAGGTCCTTGTGGTGGTTGCTGTTGCGGAGGTGGGCGTCCGTAACCGTCGTTGCGAGGCGGTGGCCGAGGGGAGCTACCAGGAAGGCCTGGAAGTCGATCGCGGTTGAACATCTTGGTGGTGGAAGAAGGTCGCTATCGAATTTTGGGGTATATAAAGTGGCAGAAGGTGGATGCCACGTATTCGTGAAGACGTTGGGAGGCAGCAGCAATGGGGCCTCACGGGGTCGCAAAGGTCACCAGGCTACAGTATAAGGACAAGTTTAGTCGGGTCGCGGTGTAATGTATATTCCTCGATGATCTGTCCAGTCCAAAAGCTATGCAAGCCAAACCAGAAACAAGCGTGATACAACCTGACCGTCAGGGTCTGTGATGCTGCGTGGGGAGCTTCAGGAACGCGCTTTGACCAAGCCACACGCCACACGTCATCCCCGTCGCTCCGCCGCCAACAGGGGAGGCTAGGATTCGAGGCGTTTGCTGCATACACACGCATAGATCTCGACAACTTCACAGGTCCCAATTTAATGTATGCGTCTACCTTATGGACCGTCTTTTGATACCATCTGGTAGAATGCGACGCGAAATCTAGCCAGCACATCACGACGCCCCCAGCTGAGAGTCGTACACCTACCTCCCGACCTGTAGACCCAACAAAAGCCCTCCCAACATCAAGCGGGTACCAACATGTTGTTGAAAGACCTCACGCTGCTCAGTAGCCCTTCCCAAGATGCACTGCATCGCCTCCGCCATACCAAAGGGGACCCGTCCCACAATGCAAACCCTTTTCCTGGCCCACGTTGAACTCTCCACCAGCAGGTATCTTGCCTTCATTATGTCCCGGCCAGTAGTCTTTCTGCAGCCACGCGTTGATCTCCTCGATCTTGTCGATCAAAGCCTTCGTCTTCTCAGGATCTAGCGAGCCGTTTCCGTCTTCCTGATCTTTGGTATATATGAAGCGGCCGATGGTGAGATGGCTTGACGGTACGACATATCGCGATTCCACTTGAAGACCTGCATCGCGACACATGGAGAACATATCTCGGCGAAGATGGTGGTAAGTGAACTTGTCGTCCTCGGGCGTACGGCCAGAGTGCAGTCCCTCGCCAGCTGCAGGTACAAAGCTCAACGCTATCGCCGAGGCATCGTACCCGATAAGAGGCTTAATGAGGCGCGTGCGATGCTCGTGGGTATAGTCGGCCATAGCAGGTATCTTGTCTCGCACACTATCGACAAGTTGCTGGATCTCTGGTGCCGTCTTCGAATGCGTTACCTCAAGTACTGTAATGTGCTGGTTGTCCCGGGGCATGAGCCATAGATCTGCTGTCATTAGCATTGCAATACGGTAGCCATGATATTGTGCCTACTTGGTGCTACTGTTCGCAGTTCCTGCTGCACTCGGGCGATCATATCCTTGACTTGCTCTGTAGGACGGCCCCAGAATACCTGCACATGATAAGTACACGTATCGATGCAGGTTGTATATCAGCATTCTTACGAAACAGTTGCGAGGATCTTTGAATCCAGGTTCGACAGTGGGGTCTTCCAGTCTCAAGAGTATGGGGTCTATGTTGACGCCCTGGAAGCTCGTATCGAGCATTTTCGCCTTTTGCTGCGCATTCCTCGTGGTCCGATGCAATTGGTACTTTTCTTGGATTCGTACCTGCGTTGTTTGCTAAGTACATGCAAAGATCAGATATTAAAGAATCTTACCGGATCATCCTCACATGCCGATATCAATGCATCATACGGGTTGCTGAAGGAGGAAGTCGAGACACCAGTGAGGTCCTCAAATGTGTTGACTGCCTGGTTAGCCATGAAGTGTGCTACGAATCGTGGTGAATACAGGATAATGCAAGGACGCTGTATGTTTCTTTCAGTATTGCGGTGAAGGTAATACGAGTACCAAGCCGCGAGGGTGGGTACGTAGGTATACATTGAGCTGAATGCTGTCCGACTTCGCTACGTAGGATGGCACCTTCCCTCTCAGAGTAGCCTATCCGCTTCGGCTGTGCATGCCTCAAAGGGACACACACAAACCCTCTCGCCCTCAATTCACCTCATGGCCTACTCAGCACATTTTATCTCTCATCGTGTCTTTCCCAGGTCATGCAGTCCAGCGGCGAGAGACGGCATGCGGGGTACGTGCCCTGACAGGATGCCCCACGTGCTTTCGCTCCACTCGCGCGACGCGTCGTTGCGCTACGTGCTTGCATGCCGCATGAACTCCATTGACTTTATTGCCCTCAACGCGCGAATCGCATGCCATGAGCGAACCGCGCCACTTCATTCTTCTATCTCTAGATTAACGGCTGTTCCGATATTCAATTACGTGTCTTGCATCGAAATACTCTCACCATGGGACAAAACAATTCGCGTAAGCGGAAGCGCGTCACCCAAGTGTCACCTTCACACAGCGTGTCTGAGTACGACGATGATATTATTCATGTTGCACCACGGCCACACACCGCCAGCAGAGGGAGTACTGAGCGCACTCCGTTGGCCGAGACACAGACACGAGGCAATCGCGCTCGCCGCGCGCACACAGCCCAGCATGTCCATGGTATGCCGTTCACCTTATCATCACCACTTGCTGTCTCTCAAGAGCTAACCAATTGCAGTTGATGCGCCCTCTATCCATACTGGTCCCCCGACACCTCTTCAAGCGACGCACGATGCCGACCAAGTCATACCTACAGATTGTTGCTACTTTTGTCTCACCCGCGGAGGCAACGCTACGTACGAGTGTCACACAGAGGAAGGAGCAGACCTATGTATTCGTTGTATACGAGATAAATAGAAGAAGTGCAGGTTGCCAACGCCTGAAGAATCGGCAGCGATAGCGGCACGTTGCCCACGGTGCACGATACGAGGATTTAAGCTTTGCGACGGAAACGACCCTTGCGATACTTGTGTACGCAACAGGACTGTACACCTATGTCGCAAGATACCCGAGAAGAAGAAGCCAAAGCTTGAGGAGCTAGCCACAAGAGCCGGGATTACCCCACAGTCTGAAGGTGTTGCACCAGAGCAGTCCAGCACAAGCCGAAGAATTCGACGTAGCGAGGTATCTCAGACCGGCAATGACGCACAGGTTACTACAGAGGATGTGAGTGTCGAAGTTGATCACAATACAACACGTACCGGCACATCTAGATCAAAGCGCAGGAAGGTTTCACCCAAAAGTACACCCAAAAGTACACCCGATGAGTACACACAGGTGGTTAGCCCGAAGAGGAGCCCGTCTAGATTGAGCTTGCGCAAAGCTTCGAGGACACAAGAAAAACCTGCCGACGAGAACGAAGAGCTGCATTGTGGCGACGATGCGTTACCCTCGCCTGTGACTTCGAACGATTTCGCGTTAGAAGACGATCCCAAATTAGCGACGGCCCCTGGTGGTGAGAACGTTCCGATGATGGACAACGACTCGGATCAAGGAAAAGAGATCGGCATATTGAACCTTGGTCGTAGTGGACGCTCCAGCAGGGCTCGGCCTAGGGTGTCCTATGTTGAACCCATGCTTGAGGACGTATCCGACCAAGACCTAGGTCTCGCAGCCGAAGACGAAGATGAGGACGTATCAGACAGCTACAGTTCTCCTACAACGGACGAAGAAGAAGAAAGCGAAGCGGAAATTGAGCCTGCATCTTCTGATGAGGAAGCATCAGGCGCCAGCGACGCTGAATCGCTAGACATATCCATAGATGAGGACGTTATCCCTGTTGAAGACGATCAGCCCAAGCCAAACCCACGCCGGAACACTAAGACCGGAGAACTAAGTCGAGCTGGCAAAGGCATCGATCTGAGCCTTCCCCCGCTCTCGAACATCCAAGACTGCATGTTCGATATGACCGCGAAAGCAGTAAACCTCGGCCTTTGTGAAGCTCTCCAAAGTCTAGGAGAAAGGCCTATCAGAGTAGCGACCATGTGTTCTGGTACTGAGTCGCCGTTGCTAGCCCTGGATGAGATATCAAAAGGTCAGTCATTTGCACGCAAACATCAGACGTTATATCTAATATGTTCTTTAGCACTTGAACGTATGGGAAAACCTCCAATGTATATCCAGCAAGAATTCTCCGCAGAGATTGAAATCTTCAAACAGGGATACATTGAGCGGAATTTCGCTCCCAGGAAGTTGTTCCGAGACGTGCGCGACTTCCTCCGCAAAGACACCACCACCGCTATCACAGCATACGGAGCAGAGGTGGACGTCCCCACGGGCATAGATATCCTCATCGCCGGCTTCGTCTGCAAAGATCTCTCGCGGATGAACAACAAGGGAAAGACTATCGACGACGGCGGCGAATCTGGCGATACATGGCGAGCAATCTACACATATGCGGAGCGCTTTCGCCGCACCCTAGTACTGTTAGAGAACGTGAAAAACGAGAAGAAGACCTGGGATGACGTGGTGAAACGTTGGGCAAATATCGGCTATGAAGCTCAATGGACCTACTGCGACACCAAAAACTTCTATCTACCCCAGACAAGAGAAAGGATGTATATGGTTGCGATAGAGCGTTCACACTTCGGTAAAGATGCGAGGAGCGCGACTGACCAGTGGAAGGAGTTGATGCATAAACTGGAGAGACAGTGCAGCAGCCCCTACGAAGCTTTCCTTCCGGAGTCGCTGAAAGAGTCAAGTGGCTTCGGTATATTGAAGAACGAACCGGACTGGGCTCTATGTAAACTCCGGAACGACCACATTCGATTTGAGAAGAGGCTTGGTATACTAAGCCCGGTCAGCCGACGAAGTGACAGTGGTACCATCATGTAAGTCCACCTAATACTGCTTTCATTTGCTCAGACTAATGATGACAGGCCTCCCGATTTCGCAGATCGAAAATTTTACAATTCACAGTCCTCGAGGGTGCATGACGCCATCGACATCGCTCACCTAGAGTTTGCTGCCCTCAAGGGCTGTGATTCACTTTACAAAATGGCGCTCTGGGATGTCAGCCAAAATGTCGATCGATTCAAAGCAGACTTAGGTATCGCACCATGCCTGACACCAAGCGGCCAAGATTTCGCGAGCAATCGTCAACATACTCTCAACGGCAGCCAACTCTTGATCCTTCAGGGAATGCCCCTTGATAGACTGCTGTTCGCCAACGAAACACAGAAGGACCTACAAAACTTAGCTGGCAATGCTATGTCAACTACAGTGATCGGCGCCTCTCTAATCTCTGCTCTTATCGCTGGATCCAGAGCCTTTCGCTCCAACCACGTAGCAACATATGACAAAGCACAAGCTCCTCCGCCCACTAGTAGAACGATCGCCCAGCCAGAGGTCTTGGGTCATACAATCCTGGAACCAAGCATTTATGAAGATCTCGACCTGGCCGAGCTCAGGCACGAAGCAAAGATGAGCGCGCGTATGTGCAACTGTGAGGGCAAACAAATCATCAGCAAGACCGCGGTCCACATCTGCTCTGCTTGTGGACATTCAGCTTGCGCCTCCTGTGCCGGGAATCCCAAGCACGTTTATAAAGAAATTGTCTTACCAAGTCGTCGAACACCGCTACCTGACGACTTCATCAGGCGGTGGAGACCCAGGCTGCCTCCGCGACTGAAGTTCGATGCTTTCCTTAACATCTCTCATCTGGCTGCCAATATGGGCCCAAAAGACCCGATTTTGAGCGAGTATCTGACCGTTCTGTCGGAAGCGCAGCTGAGCTTACAGTATTTCTGTATTGGTGAATTCTCCAGAGAGTACAATGAGTGGAAGATTGCCTATAGCTCGCCTAGTGCTACGATTGAGCTGAAGATCGGCTCCGATATTCGATGGTCATTATTTGTCAGATGTCCACCGAATCTCCCTGGCAATAGCCCCTTGCGCGAATTCCTTCGCAATCCGATCGCACAAAGTGCCACCACCAATACTCTCTTCGACGTCGAGTGGAAAATACGCATACCCTACACCAAGAACCATACTCTCAACATGAGCGGCTCGGTTGAGAAGATTAGCTCTTGGAGGAGTCGGCTCGGTCTTGCTGACTACAAAGAGGAGACCGTACCAAGAACGATTAAAATTCGGGGCAATGACCAGGAGGTGGTGGCCATCACCGGCGATTACGAGCATCAACCGCATTGCGGAACTGCATCAACTAGCCTTTACAAAAGGTCAACGGGGGTGAACAGCATGTACTTGTTTCTCGATCCTAACCCTATCGGCCGATCAGATCATGACAGCTTCGTCTTTAGCCAGGACCATACCCGCAAACACTATGGAGACAGCCGTATCACGCTGGCCCGTGTGCATTCATCCTGGCGACCCTGGGATGTGGAGGACGGATGTGTGGACGCCGTTAACATTACAATTCCTGACATGCACGCTCCTGCTGAAATGACGCTTGTACCAGCAATTGCTCCTCTAAACGTGGGTTTTCTCGATGAAGGATGCCTCATTGACAGCACCCTACCAAATTGCTCCCAGGCGCTCACTTGCCTAGACGTCTCTCTTCAAGATGAGGCCTCAGTGGGTACTTTCGCAGACTATTCCTGGGCTCTAGAAAGCGCCAAGACATTACCGACATGCTCATCTTGGCAGACAGTGCAATCAGACTGGTCCGGGGAGTGTTCTTGCGCACCACTGTATCCCGAGATTCTCTGGAGTGTCAACGAGAAGAGTCTAGCGACAGCACACGAGGACCGCCGAGCTGCTGCCACATTCGAGAGCGCCATCAAGCAGCGTCCTGATATAGTTCAATTGGAAGCTTCCAGTGATCTGTCAGGGACACGAATTCGGATCGGTGTCGATATCATGTCGTTGACGCATCGCGCGCAAGGAAGGTTTGCCAAGGGTGTTTCCACGACTACTTCTTGGATGCTGATAACGGATCATGTTGATTTACCTTCACAGCCCCTCCAGAAGTTTCAGCTGCAAAGCAACGCGAACGATATCCAAGATCCTGCATTTACGCCGCCGGAGTATCTACGGGGTGCGCAGGTAAAGTCTGTGTCATGGATGGCAAGGCAAGAGCGAGGGACAACAACGATACTCACCGAGACAGAAGAGTCAGTGCACTCAGGTCTAGGTTGGAGAGTAGAGGCTCGAGCAGAGACAGAGTAAGTTGTTCATGGTGGTGTGCTCGCCGATCACCCGTCCTTCGGCAAGACTGTCACGAGTATTGGGCTCATCCAGAGCGAATTCGAACAGTGCACAATGGATACACTCATCCAACGCAACAGATCCGTGGCAGCTGAGCAGCCTCAACTTCTGAATTCAGCAGCGACTTTGATCGTCTCACCTCCCCATATTACAAGTCAATGGAGTACAGAGCTGGAGAACTTTCTCGAATCCCAAAAATACGAGGGCTACAATGTCCTTGTCATAGAGAACTACAGTCAACTGAAGGGTCTGAAGATTGAAGACCTCGTACGAAGCAAAGTCATCATAGTGTCTTGGACGCTGTTTGCAGATGAAGCTTACATTTCGGAGCTAGCAACGTTCACCGCACTGCCAGAACCTTTGATGACCAGCCGTCGTGCATTCAGTTGCTGGCTCGATAGGGCCGTTGGCGAGATCCCAAACCAGCTGGCTGTGTACAAGCGTCATGACTATGAGGACTTTCAACGGCTAACGAAGGAACTCGTGGATGAAAGGCTCCAGCAACCCGAGTTCCAGGCCACATTGCCAATAAACATCCGGCATGGTAGCGCATATCTTTCTTTCGAGGCCATGTCATCAACTTCAGGTCCATCGAAGAAAGCCAAAGCCAAGGCGAAAAATAAGGCCAAATCGAGACCAGACAGCTCGTCACACCTAGTGCCACTACTCCATCTCTTTCGGTTCAACAGAATCATCGTTGACGAATATCACTATCTCAATGACACGAACAAGATGGGAAACAACTTCATGGCTACGAGCATCAAACAAGTTGCTGCACATAAACGCTGGGTATTGTCGGGAACGCCAGCCTTAGCCAACTTCTCTGATGTCAATCAGCTGGCATCCTTCCTCGGAGTCAAACTTGGTCGGTACTTCTGTGGCGACGGAACGGTTATGACGTCCGCGGAGAAGGTCTCCAAGCTTGACCAAACTGATGTGGAAAGCTTCTTGTCGCAAACGGAAGTCATGTCCAGACAATGGCATGAAGCGAGACACCAACGGGCGCAGGCCTTCTCGACAAATTTGTGAGACAGAATGAGGCTGAGCTTCAGCACATTGACTGCTCGGAGAAGCTCCTATCGGTGGATCTGGATGCTGCTCACCATGCCGTCTACTTGGAGCTCTCTCAATACCTCATCTCTCAAAAGATGCAAATCAAGAAGCTCAACAAGAAGTCTGGCTCGGACAGGAGTAGCAGGCTGAACGACAGTCTAGAGAATTCCGCAAGTGCCGAAGAAGCACTGCTCAGGTGTGCTCTGCTCTTTGAGACGGAGGAAGGCAAATCTGCGCTTGAGCTCTTATTCGAAAAAAGGTCGCACCAATTACGCAACACCAAGAAGGACTTGTTGAAGTTGCTATCGAAGTTCGAGGGCTTGATGAAGAAGTCTAAGAACAACGAGCCGACCATCAAAGACCTTTATGGCCATTTCCAGAAGGATATATCACAGTATAATTGGCTCGGAGATGACGAGTCCAGCCAAGTTGTTCGCGGCTTGATCAAAGAAGCACAAAAGACCCCCAAATCTGGCTTTGCTGATGTCGCGGACATATCGAAACTTCAGCGCGAGCGGTTGATCAAGCAGGAACTTTCACAGCTTCGAGATACCGCTCTCGAATTTGCGCATAGGACAAGGTCAAAACGTTTCATCGCATCGATCCACGACTATCTTCAACTTGCAACTGTTGGGGAGGAACCTACCCGCTGTAGCTCCCCTGTTTGCAAAGGCGTAGCTAGCCCTCAATTGCTCTTCTCGATACCACACTGCGGACATACTGCATGTAAAGAGTGTCTTGCATTACGAACCGACGACGAGACTTGCGTACATACTGGCTGCAATTCCTACGCAAGCGAAGGCAACCTGATCAGGATGGCTGATCTTGGTCTAAGTCACGACCAACATACTGATCAGAGCTTTGGCAACAAGCTTGAAGCTATTGCCCATCTTGTTCAAGGGCTTCCACAATCTGATCAATGCATCGTTTTCGCGCCAAACGAGGAGATCATCAGCATTCTCGAGACCGTGTTCGACCACTGTAATGTCTCTTACCACTCGCTGGGCGGAAGTCGGCATAAGGCGTCGGCAGCGAAGCTTATGGAGGACTTCAAGACGAACACAAATCCTAAAAAGAGGAAAAAGCTCATCATACTCAATCTGGGAAGCGAGTCTGCAGCTGGCGTGTAAGTCCCTCTTGCAAATGTACATAGATTCCTCGTACTGACCATCTACAGCAACCTCACAGTGGCCAACCACGTCATATTTGTTTCGCCCTTCTTGGCAAAGACGCAATATGACTACGACTCAGCCATGGCACAAGCTATCGCTCGAAGTCGTCGTTATGGCCAGCAGAAGAAGGTTCATATCTATCATGTCATCGCAAAGCGTACGATCGACGTAGATATCCTCGAACACAGGCACAGACGCAGCGACGCGATTACCACCATGGAGGCCGCGATCGAACTACCAGAGCCATCGTCTACAAAGAAAGAAAGGACAAAGCTTCTCAAGAACAGCAAGGGCGAGATAATACTGGTGCCGCTTAGCTGGCTAGCAGATGAAGCCAAGCGAGGAACGATGAACGTTGAAGACTCAACAGAGAAGTTCACCTCTCTGATTAACTTTTCGGAGACATTTGAGCAAGAAGATGACGAGCCTTGAGGAGGCATGTGTACAGCGGAAGATTGTTTGCGGCGATGTTTCAACTCCATTTCGTGTCTTCTTTACAGACAGCTTCCCTATTATACCCCACCGCAGTGTGTGTACCATGTACGCATAGAGATTTTCGCATCAGCAGGGCGTACAGTGTAGTTGGCATGATACCCCAAGTCGCATTTCCAGCGCTCAATGCATATCATCTGAAGTCGCGGGGGTCGTGAATCGAACCTCGTGATTCTATCATATTTACTGCACCTACGTTTAAGCAGCTATGGTGATGTAATAACAATCAGCGCTACCACCACCGCAGAACGACCATCTTCCCAATCCGGCGAGCGGCATGCAAGGTTAGCGGTATTCGTCTAACCTGGTAACATCAGCCCATCAGCCTCAGCCTGCCCTGCTGATCGTAAGCAGAACCACCATCACCACCAAACCCCACGCTCACCGGTAAACAAACTCCGTACACATAGGCCCCCGTATCCCGGCCAAGCCAAGTCAGCTCTCCACTCGTCCTCTGAACGGTGACTTGAACGGTACAAAAGCTACCCAAGCGGCCGCGCTACCCGTATCTGCAACTAGCAGCTACCGGAATAGGATGATGCGTCTTTGAATAGTCCATGGGGCCAGTTCACCGATGAGGGTAATGCTGGGTCACAGACTTCGATGGTTTTCAGAAAGAGTTACTTGGAAGGGAAGGTTGGGCTGGGAATAGGAGCGGGTAGGAGGGGGACTAAGGGTATCGGGTATGTGTGGATGCGGCGTGGTATGGAAAGAAGTCAAATGGTGACGCGGATGGCTGTGGCGTAGTTGACCCTGTCTCATTGGTGTGAGGGATGGACAAAGGGTTCGGCACCAGAGCATGGCACGTTATGGCAATGAAGACTTGAAACTTTGATTCGTTCGTCTCTGGCTTTCCTTCCTGCTTCTCAGATAGTACAAAATTGGTGTCAAAAACCAGACCCTTTTCCATCGCCAAACGCCTCGCCCAATGCTACACCGGTCTTGGTGCCTACTCCAATCTGAAGGCCTTGACGCGGCTGGAGGTATTACGCATGCGCGCTTTCGCTTGAACAGCACGCCGTACTCGAACGTTTCTCTCTCGTAATCTACCCTTCGACCTGGACGCTTATATGACCCATCGGTAACTGGCGTATCGACCGGCTGTTTCTGACTTTCGGATAATCTTGACGACGGAACCTCTTCTCAGGCCCAGGTACTTGGCGACTGGGTCCGTGGACTGGATTCTGGGGAGCTGTGTCTGCTTCAAACGGTATCGCTGGAGTAGCTGCTGCTTCTCCTCGTCACTCAGCAGGACGTGCTTGGGCACCAATTCGTGCTTTGTGATGTTGACCAGCAGATCTTGCTCGACAAAGACCTCCACACCGCCCTTGGGGCCGTCGGTGATGCTTGTCGCGCCGCGGAGGAGTCGAAGGGCCATACCCGTCATGGGCTTTACGGTGACCATGATGCCGGAGTGGAAGGAGCCGTTGACGAGATGGGACATGTAGTCGCGCAGTTGCTTCATTCCAACGTTCTCGTCGGCGTTGAACTCGATCCAGATGGTGCCGATGTTGGGCTGGGGCTCGGGGTTCTTCTTGGTCGGGGCATCGGTATACCTTCGGAGCATGTCTTCGGAGGGCTGGCAGGAGAAGTTGAGGCGCGAACGGCTGGTTAGAGTCAGTACTGCGGCCTGGACATGGCTGTGGCTGGCGCATACTCAGGCTCTCCGTCTTCGCGCGCATATTTCCTTGAGAATTCCTCAAGTGACATGGTCATGTCATCTTCGACAATCATGTAGCCCTTTGGTAGAGTCAGCGCGCAGTCCATTGTCGCCCAAAGCGCAAGCGCATGCGCAACGCACCCGGTCGTTCATCATCTCCTTGGTTGTCCGCCAGACCCTCCACAGGCGAATCAGAGACGCGCTGTACTTTTCGCCTTCCATATTTGCGGTCGCTAAAGTTGATGCGGGGGAACGAGTGTCGGGCGGTGGTGTCGGCGCAACAGGTGAGTGAAGACGGGCGCGTCAAAGAAATCTCCAGAAGTTCCAAAGGCAGGCCGGGCGAGAGGCTTGGCGTGCAGCCCTAGCGCGCGGACCTGGAGCTTGGAACCCCACCACTTCCGCCCATCTCGAACTTGGACATGGCCTCCTCAAACGAAATCCCCAACCTACGAACTCTTCTCGGACAAGGCCGCGGCGGAGCAACAAGAGGCAGAGGTCGTGGAAGAGGTGGTCTTGGAGGCTCAAGTGAAACAAGGGCCCAAGTTCTCGACGATGCCGTCAAGGGGACTGATCAAGATGCGGCGGGGAGCAGGGTGAGCTGTGTAGAGCTAGGTTATCTTCACGACCCATACGCGAAGCTGTTCGCGACACAACAGACGACGAGGAAGCTGCCGTTGCTCAACAGAGGCACTTATGTCCGCACCTCGGCCATCGACCTTCTCGTCGCCAAGTTTCTCGTCACCTACCCGTCGTCGGCGAAGCAGATCATCTCTCTAGGTGCCGGCACCGACACGCGATTCTTCCGCCTCCTCGACCTATACCCTCAAACGCGCCTCGTATATCACGAAATCGACTTCCCTTCGAATACACTCGCTAAGATAGCTACCATACAGAGGCAGCCGCTGCTTTACCGAAAGCTACTGCACATACCGTCGACTTCAGCCTCCTACCACTCAGACACGTACAACATCCATGCGCTCGACCTACGTACTCTGGCCGACCCGTCGGAAGAGAAGCCCCTCCCTCAGATACCGAACCTGGACCCGAGCTTACCCACATTGATCCTGTCTGAGATGTGTCTAGTCTACCTGCAGCCCTCGGCAGTGAAATCAATAGTGTCATCACTGCTCACACACTACCTACAACCTGCGACGCCTGCGTCTCTCATTCTCTACGAGCCCATCCTGCCCCAAGATGCTTTTGGTCGCACAATGATCTCGAACCTCCAGTCCCGCAACATTCACCTTCATACATTGATAGCGTATCCTGAGTTGGGCGACCAACGTGCACGCCTTCAGGGCTATGGCTTGACAAACGGGGCAAAGGTCACGGACACAAGTACTATTTGGCGAAAGTGGATCGACGACGAGGAGAAGGAACGCATCGCTGGATTAGAATTTCTAGACGAACTGGAGGAGCTGGAAATGCTGCTCCGGCATTACTGTGTCGCGTGGGGCTGGAGGGATGGCGAAAGCGATGTCTTTTTGAAAGCGTGGGCGTCTGTACAGGAGTAAGAAGTAGTTGACTTTGCAGCTCACGATGCAGGCATGGTTATCATTAATGGCCTCGAATCGGAAACGAATATTAGTTCTTTCGCAGCATGCTTGAGTTATGACGTGACCTGCGTAGAGTGAAAGCCACGTGCTTGCGCGCCAGACGCACTTCCAGGGCTCACGCGCTAGACCTGAGGCGGCCTTGCCCGAACGGCGCCGTGAACCCCAGACACGGTGCTTTGCGACAACAAGAACGACCAATTACCCACCACCCGCCTCAAATCTGCGCCGTGTCGTGAAGAAAGCGCATTTCTCGCCAACACGCAATGGTGTAATCGCCGCCTCCACATCTGAATCACGACTATATACGCTCCTTACCCGTCCCGACACAACAAACAAACCAACACGGAGTCGCTCCTGCCATGGCGGTACGCAACACGACCCAGCCCTCCTTCAACTTCCTCACCGGCGAGGAAGAGGAGCCAACACCCGCGCCTGCGACTGCCAAACGAGAACCTCTCCGCGAAACCTTTCGAACCACGCTACGAGCCTCCCAGAATGCGCCGCACACGGTTGTGCCTTCTGACCCGATCAATGAAGACCTCCGCGCCCAACTTAACACAGTGCGATATGAGCTCGAAACCGCGAAACAAGAAAAGGAGATGATGAAGCTGGAGCATGCGCAAGAACTCCGCGACGCCCAGAACCGCGCCGATGCCGACTTTCGCAAAGCCCAGCAGGTCGAGGCGTCCAACAGCATGACCGCGAAGAAATACGATGCGCTGACCAAGGAGATGTCCGAGGCACAGACGAAGGCTGCGAACGAGCGGCAAGCGCTGGAACGGCGATTGCGGGAGAGTCAAGAGAGGGCGCAATCGTTACAAGAGGAATACGACGAGGTCAAGGAGGAGTTGTCCACGTCGCAACGGCAGAACGAGCACAGATACAACACCCTACAGACAGAGCACAAGGCGCTGAAGGAGAGTGTGGAGGAGATGCATGCAGATCTACAGGCCAAGGTCAATGCTCTACAAACGTCGCAGAAGAAGCTTGCGCAGAAGGAGGAGGAAGTCGGTCAGATGGAGGCTGAGGTCTTGCGCCTGAAGGCAATCACTGGAGATGCGGAAACACTGGCAGTCATCAAGAGGGAACTCTCCGATCAAGTCGCACACATCAAGAAGCTGGAGACCCTCACGAGGGAGCAGAATACTGAGCTCAAGCAGTACCGGAAGCAACACAAGGCGATCGAGGTGGTTGAGGAGGAGAAGAGGTCGCTGCAGACAAAGCTGCGCATGATGGATGACTTACAACGGCAGTTGGGAGAGGCAGAGCTGAGGAAGCAGGTCTTGGAAGAAGAGCGCGACTCCTGGACGTCGTACCTTGAGGCCGAGGCAGAGATACACGGCGAAGTACTCTTCGAAACCCCCCAAGACCTCGCGCGAGCCTTCATCCAAGAGCGCATAGAGAGAACCGATCTTCTCAACAGATTGGGCGAGATCAAGCCTGAACTCACTGTCAAAGACGCTACCATACAAGCTCTCGAAGAGGAGAAGGCCAAACTACAAGCCGAGATTCAGCAACTCAAGGCCGCCGGAAACACCGCCGCGACGAACAGTGCCGACGCAAAGGTGCGAGCGCGTCTCGAACGACAGAAGGCTCTCGCAACCAAGGAAGTCGACTTCCTGCGCGCCCAAGTCAAGGCTTTTGACGACGAAGAGCGTGAAATGCAGCCCGACACATTCGACGCTGCAAAGTCTGAGCGCATAAAGGAGCTTGAAGATCTCGTC